GGACTTCTAATTTCTGGAATTACCAGTAAAAGAAATAATGCACATACAGCTGGATTTTCTTAATTTGGAACAGACATTTGGGCTGCTTTATACATGTATGTACCTCCAATTAAAGATCCTTTCTAAATAAAAAATCTGATTTGAATTTTAAAAATGTGATTTTCATTATTTGAAAAAATCACACTAACACTGGTGGCAGCCAAACAAATGACCCGTCACGCTGTCACCCTGTATTCATAATTTGTCTGCACTGAAGCTGTTTTAATTCACTGTTGTGTCTGCTGTGCTAGGGGGAGGGAGGGTGGGTGGGTGGAGTTCTTGGAGTGGCGCCTCATTTCAGCTGCTGATGAACAACTTTGATGGAAATGCTTACAGGATTTCCTCATCATGACCAATCCCCTCATTACTCCAGCTTCCTGGAATTTATTACACGATGTATCAAATGTGCTGTCACACTGCATTAATCCCGCCGGGTCGTGCACTTTTTTGCACTTTTTCTTGAAAGAAAATTCCGGTTCATTTGAAAGCAGAATTTCCCTAGAAGCGAGCATACATTGTGAAGTCGTTTGCCAGAGGGTTGTCCCTTGTCATGGTTGATCTTAATGAAATGAAAGCCCTTCTGAGATCAAGTTACTGCGTTTATTATTTTTGATGATATACTTCCACTCATCTTTGGCCAACTGGAGAACCCAACAGATGTTTGTCTCCTCGTGTCCTTTTTTTATGTGACAATGACCGTATATGAAGCCCTTTGCGGTACAGTACCTGCAGAATATTCAGACAAATAGGAAATTGCTGTTGAGTGGTGTTTCTGCACATTTTTGTAGGTAGACAATGGAAATCTATGGGCTATGTTGTGGTTTCACCCTGCAGTTTCATTATTCTTAGGTATGGTACACATGCGGCAGCTGCAGCATTGTAACACACATTCAGGCACATCAGCCAGTTTTTCTCTTTAGACCCTATTTATGTCACATTTATTGCAGACATTGAAGTGCCACGATAAATCATAGCTCATTTGATGAAAGTTATGCAGTGCATAAGTCTGATGACTTTCACAACGACTTTCAGCATACCTTACACACTCATAGCCCAACATCATTACTGGCCTTCTTGTGAAGATTACTGTAAGAGATTGTGAAGATTTCTATAAGAGATTCATTTTTTTGGCAACAAATTAATGCATAGAAGTGATATTTCAAGCCTTCATGCTTTTATTTGGTTATCCCCAAGCCTGTCATTGATCATACCAGTGTAATCTAAATTGATTTGAAAAATGTACAGTTCAGGTTTATTTTAGCCGTACATGTGTTGCATAACTATTGCTTTTCTTGCGAGAGAACTTTCAAGATTGGCTGTAGGCTTTCAAACAAAAAAGACAAAAACCTTTTTAAACTGGTCAGCTGAGCTATTTAAGGACTGTTTGGGGGTCTTATGGAAATTTACATAAATACACTGAACTATAGTAGATCCTGCAATAGTACTCATGCAAGTCAAGTTTGAAGGTATTCCAAAGGCAATGTCTTACAAACTGGGCGCAACTACTGTACACGTACATGTGTACACGAAGACTGTGTAGTACATTGGGGCCGTAGCCCCACTTCATTTAATATGCAATGCCCAGTCAAAGATTGCCTAATTTTGTTTCCCAAAATGCAAATTTCTTTTCCAGCACTTGATATAGTCTTGGACATTATTTTATACATGAACCTGTGTTTTAAAACCCTCTTTTTGCTGTCTCGATCAAAAACAGTCCAAAATTCCTTCGGCTTTGCCCTGTACATTACACCTATAGACATGTCACTTCACATGACTGATTTTGGCTGATAGGACAACTGTATTGGGAATGCATCTTTGCGTAGGAGAGTGTATGGTCAGAAGTAGAGAAAAAATGGTTGTCAATTTCCAGGTTAATGTATGTGATCCTACAGGAACTTGACATAGATGTCCATGTAGACCTGCCTGGGTACCGGTACGGTACATGCGCTAATAGAAATGTCCCCATTGCAGGGAAATCATGTCATCTGATTTTCTTGCTGATGGTACAAATTAAATTAGTCTGAATTTCCGGCCTTGGAAAAAATTCTGAACCAATTCAGCACACTTAAAAGGGGTTAGTCCTGACATCCCAACTAACCTTGACATAAATTAACAATGGTAAGGCTTAATATGTGTCTGAAGACTGAATTACCTGTAATAGACCATTTGTTATCTTCACCAAAAGTAGTACCCCAGAAATTCAGTGTGCTTTTTCATTTTGATTTGAATTTAACTCAAAAATTGAAGGTATTTTTGTCAGGAACTCTTGTGATTCCTCTGAAATGTGTCACTTTGCAGGGAAAAAAATGGCATGCATGAATTTTTGTACCAACTTGCATGTACATACCTACGTGTACAGCTCTACATGTAACCTTGTAAAAAGGATTCCAAGCTTCATGTCAAGCTGAGCCATGTTTTTTTTCTCAGATCTTCTCTTTGGATTATGAAAGACTTCAATTAATCTTTCAGTCTCCAGTGAGGTCTCATATTTAATCAAAGTTCTTCTTGCTTTTGAAATAATGGTGAAAATGAGTAACTTGGCGGACTCAAAAGCCCATGCTCCCCAACCTGTGCCCACAGGGTCAAACAGTGGCCTGAATGAGGAAGGGGGAGGGGTCAGGTAATTGTTCATCATGAACCAGTATAATTTCATGGGTTCCACACTTCTTGATATGATAGGCTAATTGATGTCTCACTGCAGAATCTGAAAGTAAATGTATAGGCAAGAATAAGCGAGAATTCTCAGCTTTTCCCCTTTATTGGCAAAAGATATATTCTGGTTAGGCCTTCAAAGATGCTACGCCACCGCAACAAAAGAGTAAGTATTAGTGGGTGTCAAAAAGTGCCAAAGTGCCCCAAATTTCAGAGACCATCACAAGAAAACTATCAGAGATACCGTATTAAGCTGAAAGTTTATTTTCCCTCATTTAGTATGCCAAGGCATTTTACAGAAATTTGTTTGAGCAGATCTGAGTCAGTAATTGTCGGAACCACACCTCTGTAACGTTGCCCTTGTCATTTTTATCTATCAACCCACCAGCTGAAGCAGTGATCAAGCTCGGTAACAAGGTTGTGGAGAGCGTCAAAGAGAAAGAGCCCAACGAAGTCTTAACGATGTTGACTAATGAAGCAGGATGCGAGATCAGTAGCTCGGAGGCCACCGTCAAGATAATGGTGACGACCATCCCACCAAACCTCAAGAAGATAGACCCAGCCATGCATTGTGAGTACCAGTTAAGAGCGCATCTCAGGCTCGCCACCTACGAGGAATTGGGCGGTAAAGAAAGGTCCCTTACATTTCTCATCCCAAATCCTTAAAAGGTTTTCAACGGAGCTGAAGGTTTTGAGAATTGCATAACTCAGCCTTCATGGTCGCACACACAAGCATTCTCCTCGCTGACAACAAAAGAGAACTAGGCCGACACTGGACACCCCCCCTCCCACTTTGTCCACGTTTTGAATTTTCTCGAAAATTCCCACTTTTCCAGATTTTTTGCACAAAAGTTAAAACAGCAACTTTGGAAAGAAGTCAGAACAAATCAGATGGCAACAGCAGAGCTTACCGGGTACTGTACATATGATTATGAGCATAGTTTAACCTCTTCCACCCGTCATTCGATGTGCATTTAATCTAATTCATTGTAAATTGCTGTGCAATTCAGCTTTGGAGCTGCTGAACCGTGATGATAATAAACCATAATTAATAATCATTACATGTAGCATTTCTACAATAAAAACACATAGGCCAACATTACTAGGCACCTTCTTCTGGCTGGATGAAAGGTTAAGGCTTGACCTTTGCCATTAAAAGCCCTTTTGTCACACAATGCTTTACAAAGGGCCAAGTCAGTGTGGCTGCTGCAAAAATGGGCGAAAACTGAAATGAGAGTAATCTCTCAGAAATACAAAAAAGGAAAGAAAGCAGTAAAGATAAAAGTGCCAGTGGTGGTGATGGTTGGAGGGAAAATATGGACTAATCGGATTACACACCAAAACTGCGGTGGCACTGCACTCATAAGCACGTTCTTCAGCTTGACGCGAGTGTGCTTTCAGCAAATCACGACACCCTGTTGGTCAAAGAGGCATGTAACACGCGTGTACCACCTGTCCATGAGTGTTGTGCCACCGCAGTAATGGGTTCTAATTTTGGTCGTCAAATTACGCCTTGTAGTGGGGATTAGAAGACTCCGTGAGTGAGTAGGTGTACAGAGTTGTACTTGTTTCAAAACTTGCAGTCATGAACATGAGCATGAAATTGTACCTCACCTCTGTGAAGTGGAAAAATATTTACTCCTCACTAAAATTTGCTTCTTACTAAAATGAAAGTCAGTTCCATTTTCCTTCCCATTATTGATCTTCCTATGATCGGTGAATATTAAACAGGTCATCCAGATGAGTAAAATTGTATGTACACTAAAGACTGTAGCCAGGCAAATATTACACACACCTATAGTTTGGTGGGACATTTTGGGCTTTGGGCCAGTTTCATGCCTGGATTGTGCTGCATGTGCCCAAGCATTGTAGTGTCCATGTGAAGACTGTCCAGATGATATTTGGAATTATCAGATGACAGTTAAATGTTCTTACTCCATGCCATATGCCGGCCAATATGTTGGTCGCAGGGAATTTCATTGCCAAAAGTATCCTCTCTGTTTATTCAGGATGCAAATTGTGCAAAGAGCTACACTGTACATGTCCTTGGTCTGCCTCGACACATGATATGTACGTTACAGATTTCGGAGCTTTGAAGAAGCTTTGCACGAAACAATGTCCCTTTTTTTTTAAGCTGTAATGGACAACATGCACAATACCTGATGATTGGAAAGAGGGCAGATTAACAGGGAAATAAAATATCTTGTTACATGTATAGCTTATCACATTCCCAGGCACCGTGCCGTCATTGCCAAACCCTGAAAAATATCATCTTGATGACATAGCAAGATAATGAGTTTGTTGTCTGTATACATGTATGTGCAGTACCCTTGAAGGTCATGAAGTCATCCCTGGCAGCGGTGAGGCACGCCCGATGGTTCGAAGAGAACGCCCAGCACTCAAGGTGAGGAATAAAATAGCCGTCCTGTCAAAATGTTTGGATTTGATTATGTTCTTGTATCATCGCTGTCTGCAGTGAGTGCCGTGTTATGTATAGAGCGCCCTCAGTTGTTCATCGCTGAGTTATTCTCTGTTGTGCTAATAAAGGTACGCAGGACTTGATGCACAGTAAAAGTAATTTAATTTTGCCTTATCAGTTTTAAGATCAAAGAAACATGACTACCTTTGGCTAATAGCCCCTACCACAAAAGAAAAAGGTTTACTGCAGTCTTATTAAGAAAAACCACTTAATGTGCCACGTCAGGAATCAGTCTAGCAAACCCTGTGGTTAATAGTATGGTAAGTCTGAAGCGGAGCTCGGACCCTCTTTCATTGGGAGATCTCTTGCTGGCTCAAGCATTGATCTCTCTGTTGGTGAAAGACGGCCTGATGTGAATGGGCAAGTGTTCAACATAGGGGCCTGGGTCAGACCACAGACAAAGTATTCTGCTGGGCTGCAACCTTCACATTGTAAAATATTAATTTGGGGCCGACAAACTTGCGCGCCTGCAGCTATAATTGAGAATCTCGCTCCAGGGCTTTTTACTGCAACTTTTCCCATTGAGCCTTGTCAGTTTGATGTGTGATGGATTAATTGCATTAATTTCCTCTCTCCACTCACTCCGTCTGTCACTGTTTGCAAGGTTTTTCAATTTACTCCGTAATGACAGCCCGAGGTTTGGCTAGTCAACTTGCCCATTCTCGTCTTCTTAGTTGGTAAGTCCTTTGGTAGGATGTCAGCATTGGCCGCAGCTGCTTGGTGCAGTGAACCCGAGTTGTCATGGGTGAGCGAGCAGACAGATAATGGCTCCATCTGCTGCCATCAGTCCTGCGACGGTATACCTGTGTACAGAATGTTGGCGGTGTTTCTGAAGTGCCAGGGTAACTGTGGGATGGGAGGATTTGGAAAAGCTCCTCAATCTGTGCTGAAAAGGAATTTCTGTGTCTCCTACACTTCCATTAGCACTCTCAGAGAAAACTCAAAGTGTTCAATCGTGAACTCTCCCCCCCCCATAAACTGTTTCAATCCTGAAAAGGTGAGTTGTTTTTTGAAAGACCTGAATATGGATAGGTGATTTCAGCACCCATCCTTTGAAATCTTAGTTTTACAAGAGACAGATTGGAGTGAAACTTGGTACATGTATGCGTCTGTGTAAAGGACATAGTACATGTATATGCTACAAACACTGGGGCATAAGCTTATGTGAATGGTCCTGAACATCATAAAAAGGAGAGTTATTTTGACCCTCTCAAAAGATCTGAAGGGAAAAGTAATATCTGCACCTACTCTTTGAAATCTGAGTTTTTTTACTAGGGCACATGTATACAGTGCATCTGTAAGGGCAGACTGCATGATCTTACATGAGGGGTCCAAAGCAATGTATAAAAGGAAAATGCGTTTAATTACAGTCGACTCTCGGTAATATGAGCTCGGATAAGACAAGCATATTTTGCCAGTCCCGACTGAATTGTGTACATTCCTATGAGGGAACAAATGCATAATATGAGCTCGGGCGTTACAAGATTTTGGTTAAGGCAAGCATTTTTTGCCCACCGGCTGAGTGCAAATCTATTGTTTTCTGTCTATTTAGCACAAGCGTCTTTGAAGGCAACTTGTCAATCAGCCAGTCCATTCAATTTTGAAAGGTGCTTCTGTAATTTATTAGTGTACAGTAGTACAGCACTGCAGTTTCCCTCACTGAATCAAGCTGTTCGTGTCCGATGCTACAAGAGAGATGAACAGTTGGCATTTGCGGTTCCCGTAGGCCTACCCAACATAGAAATTCTTTGTGGCGGCTCTCATGCTGCCTGAACACAAGGAAGTACTGCCAAAAATGCTACGATATTCAGGACAGTGGTGAACAGAAGTAATCTTTCGTTTGATTCCCCCGCCCCCAAAAGTTCTCCAAGACCAAAGTCACCCCGGAAACTAATAAAAATTGTGTTCGGTAACCAAACACCTGGCCCAAAAAACTGCCCACCCACCGTCAAAAAATTGCTACCCGTTCCCAATCGTAACATGAAAACATCGCCCCATCCGATTTTGAAATTTCTATAATTCTCAATTCAAGAAAATTGTGACTAAACTGAGGTTTTTAGTCCAAAAAAGGTTAAGAAAATAACCTCCATAAGTTCTGATGAAAAAAGTGCATCCCTTACTAATAATTTTTCACCAAGCCCACACGCCTTTCCAAAGTAAAATCCGATATTCGTCCTCTACTGTCCACACCACCAATAGCTGGTTTCCTTCCATTTTTATGTGCAACAAGTGCAGCTCTGATGTTGGTTACCAACTAAAATATTAATGTACTAACGTTACGTGCGTGTATGTGGATCTCATGACGGTGTGCAGGGCCAGGGATGTGTGATACGGCATCGCTCTGAATCAACATGACTGGTGGAAAGTCCGCTCCTCCGTTCTTACATTTTGTAATCATTCTTTATTACAAGTCTTTATTCATTCAACTGTACATATACATCTCACTTTCATAAACCTTTTAAATTCAAATTCATATAACAAAACGTACATGCCTTTAAACGAAAAGTTAT